TTTGGACAATATATGGGTAGAGCAGTGTGACAATCAGGTTTTCTTTCTACTGCCTTGGTGCTTTTACAAGTAATCTTTCCTTGCTAATTCTCCACAAAGCAACTAATTGACTTTACATGTATATATTGAGAGAGAGAACAGTAAGAGAGATAAAGCAGCCCAGTAGGGTGACACTTTCCTGTAATCCCAGCAATTTGGGAGGCTGAGGGGGAGGATTGCAAGTTCAAGGCCAGCCTCAACAATTTACCAAGCAACTTCTTGAGACCCTGTCTCAAAATTTAAAGGAAAACAAAATAATAAAAAAGGGTAGGGATCTGGCTTAGTAGTTAAGCATTCCTGGGTTCAATCACCGGTACTGGCAAGGAGGGGGGGGAAGGAGAGGACAAGAAGAGAAGGGAGTAAGAGAGAAATATGGTAAAATGTTAATAATAGGAACCTGGTTGAAAGGTACACAAGAGTTCTTTGCAATATTCTTGTAATACTTTTAAAGTCTGGAATTTTTTAAAAATATCAAGTTTAAAACATAACACAAAAAAGGATGGATAGGAGTGTTATTGGTTTGATGCTACAGTTTTAAATAAAATGCTCAAGAAGGGACCTACTGAGAAAGTACCATTTGGACAAAGATTTAAAGGTGAGAAGAGGCTGAACCATGAGAAATGTGGGGAAAGAATGTTCTAGGGGGAGGGAGCAGCAAGCTTAAAAGACTTTGAAGGAGGAACTCACCATGTATGTTGTAGGCCTTCAGGGACAGTAAGGTGGCCAGTGCAGCTGGAAAGGAATGAGTGTGATAAGGAAATTAGATCAGAAAGATAAGACAGGGACAGATTCTTTAGTACTTACAGGTCATTGCAGAGACTTTGATCTTTACTGCTCCTAAGGAATGAACCATTATTGAAAAATTTAAATAGGGCTGGGGTCATGGCTCAGTGAGTGGTAGAGTGCTCGCCTAGCATTTGCAAGGCCCTGAATTCCATCCTCAGCACCACATAAAAATAAATAAAATAAAGATATTGTGTCCAACTACAACTAAAAAATAAACATTAAAAAATTTAAGCAGTGGAATTATATGATCAGAATTATTTTTTAAAAGGATCATACTCTCCTGAGTTGCAGTTATACTAAAGTGGGGTAAAGAGAAACAGCAAGGCTAGTTAGAAGGCTACTATAGTAATTCAAGCTAAGGTGATAGATAGTGACTTAGACCAGGCAGTTGTGGAGATGGTAAGTAGAAGTTAAAGTCTATTTTGGGGGGGCAGGGGGAGCTGGGTATTTAACTCAGGGACACTCAACCACTGAGACACATCCCCAGCCCTGTTTTGTATTTTATTTACAGACAGGGTCTCATCAAGTTGCTTAGCACCCCGCTATTGCTCTGGGTGGCTTTGAATCTGTGATCCTCCTGCCTCAGCCTCCCAAGCCACTGGGATTACAGGCGTGTGCCACTGTGCCTGGACTGAAGTCTGTTTTTTTAACTTGTTATTTTTATTTTTTAAATATTACTTATTAATATTTTTTAGTTGTCAGTGGTCCTTTATTTTATTTATTTATATGTGATGCTGAAAATTGACACATGCTAGGCAAGCGTTCTGCCACAACCCCATCCCCGAAACTTGTTATTTTTAAATAATTTCATACTTTAAAAATATTGTAAGAATATTACAAAGCCTTCCTGTACACAGTCTATCCAGAGTCTCCACTTATTAACATTTTCTTTGGTTTGTCTTTGTGTTCTGTGACTGCTGTGGTTTAGATATGGTTTGAGTGTGTTCCTCAAATCTTCATTTGCTGGAAGGCTTGGTCCTCAGTGTGATGTTGAGAGTTAGTGGAATCTTTAAAAGGTGGGAAATAGTGGGAATTAATTAGGTCATTGGGGTATCACCCTTGGAATCTATTAATACTGGTATCACAAAATGAACTACTTCTCTCCGTAGCAAGACTGGCCTGATTAAAACCTGATCCCTGAGTTCCTCTGGCTTCCTATCTTCCCCACACTTGCTCCCACCATGAGATCCTCCTCCATGTTGTGGTGCAGCCAAGGTGACCCTCACTAGAGGTCAGATGGGACCACCCAATCTTAGACTTTAAAACCTTAAGCTCAGACTGGGGTTGTGGCTCAGCAATAGAGCACTTGCCTAGCACATTCCAGGCCCTGGAATTCCTCAGCACCACAAACAAACAAATAAATAAATGAACAAATTGTGTCTAACTACAACTAAAATAAATAAATATTTTTAAAAAACCCCAAGACCCTTAAGCTCTTTAAGCTAAATAAATATTTTGTGGCTGGGCTTGGTAGTACATGTTTGTAATCCCTGCTACTCAGGAGACTGAGGCAGAAGGATTACAAATTCAAGGCTAGCCTGGGCAATGTAGTGAAATGCTGTCTCAAATTTTAAAAAGGCCTGAGGATGTAGCTCAGTGGTCAAGTATCCCTGAGTTGACTCTCTACTGTCATCCCTCCCCCCTCCCCCCGCAAAAAAAAAAAATTGTTTTAATTCATTACTCAACTTAAGATATTTTGTTATACCAATAACAAGAAGGACTCAAACAATGACCCAGACATTTTTGAAGAGTAGTTTGTAGTAGTAGTTTATAGAATATCCATGAACTTGTGTTAATTTGTGTTTGATGTTTCCCTGTTATAAAATTCAGGTTATGCATTTTGGGGCAAATACCACATAAATGATGCTGTATTCTTCATGCATTACTCTTAGAGCAACATAATATCAATAAATGACATTAACTTTTATTATTATTTGGTTAGGTTTCTCCACTCTAAAGCCAATGAGAATTTTATGGTAAAATAATTTGAGACACTGTAACTATCCAAAAGACAGTCCCCAACTTAAGGTGATTTAACATAAAAATTTCCAACTTTACAGTGATGCAAAAATGATACATTGTAGAAACTATACTTTATATTTTGAATTTTTATTTCTTCCTGTGCTAGCATTATGTTATACAATATTCTTGCAATACTGGGTGGCAGCAGCAAACTATAGCTTGCTAATGAAAGGTCATGTGATCATGTGGTAAACAGCTGATCCTCTATAGTGTACTGTGTCTAAACTATGCCATTAGGTTAGAAATGCATTTTCAACTTAAAATATTTTAAACATGTGATTTAGCCCTTTCATAAGTTAAGGACACCCATATATGGAATTTTTCTACTATTGGTTGTTTTCAGGGATCTTGGAATTCCTGTGGGAATGGGGGACTACTGTACATTTTTTGAGAGAAAATTATTCCCATCTAATTATTTCTGCTCTGTGAAATAGCATGTAAGGTCATCTCCTGAGAGCTAGAAGGGATATAGTAAGATAGGATTTGATGGGTGGTATAAATGTGAAATACCCCTTATTGCAAATGAAGAGAGGAGAGGATGCTAATTAATAACTAAGGACATGTGGAAGGATTCTAACAGGAAACAGTTGAAGAAGGAGACTATGAGTTTATATGGTTTCAGTCTTCTTGGTATGATTTTTCATCAATAGAACCAAATGACAGAATAAAAGGTACAGTAAAGACATTCAATTAGATAAGTCCAAATTTAGGATTTTATTGAGTATACATGTCAAGGCTAATTTAGGGGGAAAAGGAAAAGAAAATGAGGATTTGGGTGAAAGAACCATTTAAATAATAGATTAAATTCACAGGAATTGATAAAGAATTGGATACTAGAAAAGACTGAGGAGTTAGAGAAAATTAAAAAGTGAGATCTTGATGAAATTGAAGAAAAAATATAGTAGGAGTGGGAGGGTGTGGTCAGAAGGAAATTTAAAATATACAAGGGCTGGTTCTTAGAGGTCACTGAATTTGAGATCAAGGAATCTGAGAAACTAGAAAAATGTGATGGATTATCCATATGAATTTTGAAATTCCCAGCGTACTATTGAAACTTGGGTGGCTTTGCTCAAGATTCTAGTTAATGAATTTATCTAGACCCAGTGGTGTATGCCTCTAGACCTTATCTTTAAAAAAAAAAAAAAAAAGAGAGAGAAAAAGATTTTGCCTTGTTAGGGTATGTACATAGATTCAAATTATTTCCATGGACACCTACCTAGCAATGAAAGTAGAACTTACTTTCCAGTAGATGGTAAGACTTAGGTGTGCCCAAGCAGTATCTGGATTAGTTGATGAAAAAATTCTCCGTATAGTAATGCTAGCATTTTACACAATTACATTCTTTTTTTATTATGGGATTTTGTGGATTAAACCTATGGACATTCTACCACTGAGCCTTTGGTTGTTTTTTGTTTTTTGTTTTTTGTTTTTTAAAGAGAGAGGAGGGGCGGGGGAGGGAGAGAGAGAGAGAGAGAATTTATTTATTTATTTTTCAGTCCTTGGCAGACACAACATCTTTGTCTGTATGTGGTGCTGAGGATCGAACCCGGGCCGCACGCATGCCAGGCGAGCGCGCTACCACTTGAGCCACATCCCCAGCCCCTTGTTTTGTTTTTTTTTGAGACAGGATCTAAGATGCCTAGGCTGGCCTCAAACTTGTGATTCTCCTGTCTTAGTCACCTGAGTTGCTGGGATTATAGGCATATGCCACTCTACCCAGCATACAGTTATATTCTAATTAGATTCCAAAGGCCATGTTCTTTCCACTAACCTTTATATTGCTGCAACAGGTTGAGTGTATTCAGTTTTTTTTTTGTCTTCCCAAATATTTGGGAAAATAATTTTATCTTTAGCACTAGATGTGTACAAAGTGAAGAAGAAATCTACTTGAGTGCCTTAAGCAGAAACTTAACCCGGTAGTCAAGATTCTTAGTACAAAAAGATTGATTAGATCATTTGTCAGTTTTTTTTATCCATCCTTTTATATCTGTGTAAAAAAGAGAAAAAAAAAAACCAGCTATTGTTTGAGAACACTATATTTGGAGTAAGTTTAAGTATAAAATGACTCATTTGGTTTTTATTGTCTCTTGTCATCTCTAGCTGCATATCCCCACCGTTTGAATCTCTTTTACCTTGCCAATGATGTCATACAGAACTGTAAACGGAAAAATGCAATCATATTCCGTGAGTCGTTTGCTGATGTACTTCCTGAAGCAGCTGCTCTAGTGAAGTAAGTAAATTCTCATTACTCTTTGGGATCTAAGTTTAGAAAATATAGGATTTTAGTTTTCCTTTTCACCTAGTAGTAAGAACCATAGTAGTTGCACATGCTTGAAGATCTGAAGATATTTGCCCAAATGGCTCATTTACACATTTTTCTTCTGAAGAATTTTTTGCCAGGGCTGGGATTGTAGAGCCCTCAACAAATGTATCTCCTGGTCATACCTCTGACAATGCTTCTTTCTAACTTCTGCTTCTGTTTATTTGTTGTGGTGCTAGGGATTGAACACAGGGCCTTATGTGCACTAGCAGGTGCCATACCACTGTGCTAACCCCAGGCTTCCCCTCCCACTTTTTCCCCCCCTTAAACACATTTTATTTCTTC